GCTGCAGCTTGGAAACCCCGCCAGCCACAGGCGCGGCGCTGGCTCGCCCCTTTGCTCCGTGGCGAAGCGTGAGAGGCGTGGGCCTGCGCAGCGTGAAGAAGCAGTTGGCGTAGCTGCCGTGACAGGCTCCGAAACATTTGGAACGCGTTTGCTTGGCTGTGACATGACTGTGAGGTTAGCAGAGCAGACTGTTTGCCACGCCTGTCTCGGACAAAACGTCACACTGCGTGGAAGAGGCTGCGGAAGTCTGATGGACCCTTTTGCGTCTCTGAAGCATTGCCTGCGCAATTGTGAGTGGGACACACATGTGTTCCAGAAGACAGCGGCAGCCATGAGGCTGGTGAGGCTGGCACTCACCACAGCCTGCCCGGAGACCGGCGGCACGTTGCTTCCGTTCACCAAAATCCAATCACGCATTGCACGCAACGCGCCGCCGTCGCCTTCTACTTTGCACAGGCTTGGGAGCCAGCCTGTTTGGCACGCCCTAGCCCTCGCAGCGTCAGTGGCCACATGTTTTGGTAAGTGGAACTGCGCGGCGCCTGGCGCTCGCGTTGCGAAGGAACTGCCACTTGAATCTGGCAAGTATTGGAACATGTCAAGCACGAAGCTGAATTCTGTCAAATCTGCTGCTATGCTTGCGTGAACGTTCCTCAAGAAACTTGTCAAGCGCGCGGCACCTGATATTTAGGCACGACTGAAACGTCGAACAAGTCTGCCGCAGCCACTGCCGCATTTGCATGCAAATTGCTCCCGAAAAATCGTCACGACATCTCAAGCAAATTCGTCATGCTGCAATTGCATGGCTGTTGATTTTGAGCTTTGCCAAGCATGACGGCACACGGCGCCCACGTCAACCACAGCCGAGATCCGAGCAAATCTTGCCGTGTTTACATGATTGCTGCTCCAGAAATTCGTCAGGCATTCGGCACACGGCGCTCAGCAAACACTGCGGACGTATCAGGCAAACCTCCTGAACCGCCTGCAACATTTGCATGAATGTTGTTCGACAAATTTACCAGGCACTAGGCACGTGGCTCTTACAACGAACGCAACTAACTTGTCTCCTGAGATCTGTGAAGCGTGCGGCACATTGCGCTCGCATTGAACACAACGCTCAAATCAAGTAAGCCTGTCAAGTTCACTGCTGCGTTTGCGTGGCTGTTGCTTGAAGTTTGTCAAGGGGCACACGGTGCTCCTTGAGTAGCCTTCAAGCCTAAACCCAATGTCTGCGCTATAGAAGAATCACTCCAATCATGCGGCGCACCTCAAACTTCATGCCTCCTAGCCCGAGCCCCCCTGCTTCAAGTCCACAATATTTTGTTTTGCTGGGTGCGTTATGTTTAACAAGCGCGCCTGTTTTTTTAAATAACCCTGCAATTGTTCTTACATTAGAAAGCAATACCGCGCGGCGCGTATACGCCCAAAAACTAAAACGTTGATGTTGTTATTGATCTTGTTCTGGCTCTCTTTGGCCATGGCTCGAACTCACAGTTCGAATGTTTGTTCCAAGCCAGGTTGACTTTGCAGACATTCGCAGACACAACTCTTGGCCATGGCGCCAATGACACGCGCGCGGTCTGTCCTCGACAAGAGCGGCAGGGCAAAATGTTTAGACATGATGTTTCACCTTGACGTATAACGGCACTTCAATGCCCTGGGCGAACTTCCCATACTTTGTCCCCAACCCAATCGCAGTCATGTTCAGAAACTAGTTGGCGCTGGCCTTTCAGGAGAACAGCGCCTGGCACAAGGGTGTGAAGACTATGAGGGGCGGCTTAGGAGTCAGACCGCGTTTTGGCGCGGCTACAAGAAAGCCTGCTGGGCGGCAAGAGCTTTGTGACTTGAGAGGTTTCTTCAATTACAGAGGGTGACTTGTTGAACCGTAGCAAGAGCAATGCGTGGCATAAGGTTGTTCAAGTTCAGGCGAACGTGTCACAGCTCAAGATTTGGCCGGCTTGGTTGTAATAGGGGTTTTCTGTGCAAACATGCCCAATGAATCTAAGGTCTGTGAACCCCCAAAAGCGTCAGTCCCTCCCTTGCTCAGAAGCAGCGCGGGGGACAGCACTGGTGGATGAAGGCCCCATTGAGGTTACACTGGCAATGTGCAGCTGCCTGTTTGCCTATTTGGGTTTGCGGTTTTTAGATTGTTTGTTGCGTGTGCAGTTGTTTGACAAACCAGGAATCCTCAAGGGCGCCTTCGAAAAGCTGAGCTGGCAAGACTTGGAGGCGCTATCCTGGCTTTTCCAAAGAGGAACAAGAAAAAGCATGGGGGCAAGAGATGAGTGCAAGGCTGATAGGCTTGAGGCCCCAAGGAGGTTCAATCAGGGCGCTTGCACTCCCACACATCCTGTGCACTCCCACACATCCTGTGGGTGGAACAACATGAAGGTTCGCCAAAAGCCAATGAGGACAACATGTCCAATTGGACATGGCCAGAAACCTTTCCAAAGCCAACTACACGGGCAGCGCCAAGAGCACCATCTACCAAGAGCACTAAGAGGCCCAAGCAGTCCGATATGCAGGAGTATGATGGTACAGCAATGGGTGAGCACTGTTGAAACAAGCTGTCCTTTGCAGATGTTGACACGTTTCATTTGAGCTTGCGCATGCGTAGTGGCTGAAAAAGTCAACTGCAAGCAAGCACGATAGCGTGAACTTGCAGCCATTTGGAACCAAATCCAACAAGTAGCTGGGCCGTGCGCGATGCTTCGGCAATGCCAAGAAAGACTATGAAGAAATCAGGGGCTGCCAAAACAATTGCCCCGGTGTGAATCCCAAATGCGTCCAAGTGTAAGAGTTTCGGCTACCCCACCAACTGCTGGCAGCTCAACCGGAGACCCTCTGAACAAGCCAAACATCGTAAAGCTTCTTTTGCATTCTTTGACTTTCAACTCAGAACAAAAGTTAAAGATTTCATCTGAAACTTTCTGATACTTTAATCACCTGAAAAAAATTTGGGCTTGTTCAGGCACAGGTCAGTGGCGCCATCTCTTTCACCTCTCCAGGCGCTTCGCCGTCTTTGCGCTCCAAGGTCAGTCCATTGCCTGCTCAATCTTGAAATCAGCATCACGGTTGTTTGTGAGAATTTCTTTGGGTTTGATTGAACAGCATGCGCTGCAGAAAGTGCATTTCACACAGAAGCATGTGCTGCATCGGTGAGTTTGCTTGCAGTTGATAGGACTGAGCCAGCAGAAGCGCAGCTTGCGACGCTGGTCATTTTGCTGCAGCTGCACTAGTTCTGAAGTGTTCTGTGATTGCGCTGGCAGGTGAAGAAGCCAGCGATGAAGGACAATGGCTTTATGAAGATGGCCTCTTCAAAATGAATGAATGACATTGCCTGACAAAGTCAAGATCCAAGGCCCAGCCAGGACTTTCCCTGACAAAGTGAAGATCAATGGGAGGCTTAAGGCAGCAAGGGCGAAGGACCACAACAATGCCTATGAGAAAAAACAAAGAGCGCCGGCGGCCATTTCAAAGGGTTTTCCCATTAATGGCAAGCAATGTTAGTGAGGAAATATGTCGCGGCCCTTGTTTACAGGGGGTCCATGGCATGAAGACTGAAGAAAAATAGAAGAGGTAACTGTTGACCACTCACACATTTTTTCGTCTGGTAAAACACTGTGGCTTGCTGAATCCCACTGGACAGGTGTGTCTTTTTTCCAGACACGTCAAAACACGTGGCAGGCGTGGGAATGGGAGGCGCAGTCCAGTTTCCACGCACCAAAATGTTCAAGCAGTTGCGGTAGGCGGTAAAGAGGACAATGAGAAGGGGAAGCCCACAAAAAGATTCCCTGCACAACAAGCCTGAGGCAGACGCCAAGCGCAAATGCCCAAAGTAAGGTGGAGGCAAAGTCAAACGCTACAGAGAGCTGGTGGCAAGCAGTCAATACGGGGGCTTGCGCTTTCTGCACGGGTCTGCTCAAGCCCTTGCAGGCTGCATTTTCAGCTGCAGCATTTTGGCTCTGGGGGGTTATACACCATTTGCTCAGATTCTGTGAGAAACAACAGTGGAACAGACGGTAAGATTGCACAAGCAGCAAAGCATCAGGCTGCTGTGACAATGCGATTGGCTCTTTTGAAGACCTGCTGAAAAGTTTGCTGCGAGTTCTGCGAGTTCCTAGAAGTGAGAAACTTTGGGAGGCCACCCATTCAAGACTTGTTCGCAATATCTTTCAAGGGCTTATTGAATTCAACAGCTGGCACGGACGAACCTGGGACACGGGATGTGTTGCGGGCTTGGATTTCTTGGCCACGAATCCACAACAAGCTTCCTACAAAAGACCCTTTTGCGAATGACTTGAAGCCTGGAGGACCACTTCCTGAATGCCAAGGCCAAGCTATTCTTCCAAATGGTTTTTCGCGCGCTGGTTGGAATCTTGGGTGACATGGAGTTTTTCCAGAACCAGCTCGGGTGCAGCTGGAATTGCAAAGCTACCAATTTCTAGCAACCAAAGCTGTCGCTGATTGCAAGCGCAATGCCAGGATGAGCCAGCAATTGGAATCAAAGCCTGACAAGCTGCCCGAAGGGGGGATGACAAAGCGCCGGCGTAGCGCCCATAACTTGTGACTTTGCAGTCATTACCACACCCAATCCCACCAACAGTGGCATGATTTTGCAGCCAAAGCAAAGCCATTGCCCTGCAGTTCTGCCATGGGAGCACTGGGTATGCAAACATGACTTATTGGCACCTCGTTTAAATTGAACAATACTTTGAAGGCTGTGGAGTGTGGACATTCGACTGCGCAAAGGACACACCATCAACTCGCAGGATTCAAGGGGAAAGGGTTGTGTTCCGCAAGAGGCACAACTTTCCTCCTGGCGAACTGGGGGGTGTCCGAAACGCTGCAAAACACTCCCCACAAGGTAATGCTGACCCCGGAAAGTCTTTGCGTTTTCCTCCCAGTGATCCCTCTAGACTTTCCGGGGGTTTGCTATCAACTGGTTTTGCTATCAACTGGTTTTGCTTTCATTATGCCTTTCAGTGCTCAACACACGGCTCCTCTGCCGGCACAGGTCGATTAGGCTGCGCAAAGCGCTCGCCAGGCTTCTTGTGCCCCAGAGACCTTGCTTTTGAACTTTGGAGGGATTGTTTCTGGTGACCAGCTTCTGGCGAGAACCATATGAACTGAGGCCAACACCCAGCAAACATGGGGATCAGACTGTCCTTGGATGTCTTCACAGCGAACCAGTAGGTCTCACCAAACAACTCTGCGGATTAGCTGTCGCACCACATTTTGATCAAGAGGCCGTATTCTTGGGCAACCTGAAGATGCAGCACAAGATCTGGTAGCATTGATCACAGCGCGCTTCATTGCAAATGATGCTCGCATTGGGCATGTCTATCTTGAAGGTATCTTTTGTTGGGTTGCTTTAAGAGGGGAACACAAAGAAAGGAAGTCCATTTCAGAGTCCCCTGTCTGAGACGCAGCCATTGCGCTGATTGCGCATGGCGCCCGCCTCACGTCATGCTCCTGAACAGGGGGGGTGTAGAGTTGGCACATGTTTGGGGGGTGCTTTCACGTGGAAATACCCCTTTTGCGAATTATCTTTTTCGAGACCAAGTCACACGTGCTGGCGAATCGACATGCGGTATGTGTTGAAAAAATGACCACTGCAATGCCAAGGTTGCACGCTTTGAACTTGAGGCCGCCTGCACACAGGAATCACCAGGTCAAGACGCTCAAAGCCACAAAGGAATATTGTCTTCACACCAGCTTCAGGCGTGAAAGGAACAACAAATCTACCGTGGAACATTCGGCTTCGCGTGATGATCACAGGAGGGCCACGTGGTTCATGAATTCCTCACAAGCAACAGAATCGGGCAACTCTTGATTTATTTTGCCAACTGTCAAGCGCAGTCGCCACTTGGCGATTGACATGTCCACTGGACTTAAGATATTTAGGTAGCAGGTTGGCCCTGTCCGACAGGCCAAGCAAAAGTCCGAAAAGGGTTGCACTTGCCAAGTGGAAACACATACAATTGCATGTTCTCGGACCAACAGACTCAGCAATCCGGACAAAATTGAAGTACCAGCGCTACCGAAACTTTCACTCCTGGGCCCTCCGAATCAGCAGCTCCATGCACATCAAGAAGCGTTGAGAGGCCACCTTGGTGAAGTTCTCGGGCCGTTACAGGCTCTCCCTCTGGATTCGATCTTCCAAACCCAGAGCGGCCCGACTGATCAAACCAAGATGAGCCACAGTCAGAATATGATGTCATTGCCTGATTCACTGGCATTCGCCCTAGTTTACGCTTTTCTTCTCGTCCAAATCAACATCGCAAATGGACCATTGATAGCTGAGGAACCTTTGACCACATCTCACATCTTCATGTTACTTCTTTCGGATTGCTCTTTACAGGAAACCAACTGGGAAACCCACCCGCTCGAAGGGTCCATGGGCGCGACGCAGTTCTCTTCATGTTTCCATTTGAAACAACCCTAAGGGGGCCCACCTCCCATGGCAGAGGCACAATGTCACAAAAGACAAAGGCCAGTTTCCGCTTCATGAACTCGACCACTACGATGTGCTCCTCAGATCCCAATGTCCCCAGTGGACCGAAAGGAAACTCACAAATCATATTTGGCGGCTAAAAGGGGATGCTGAAACCATACACACCGTGAGTTTATGTCAAAACCACCATACAGCGTGCAATCGTGTTTTATCATCAAAAATTGTAAATCCAGGCAATGCCAAAAATCCTGAGGCAAAACTAAACCTCCTGAGAATCACCTGTCAGGTGTCTGCATTGGACAGGGGCAGCGGCGGCATGGGCGTTGGCCCAGTGAGGCTGCCGGCACTGAACCAGCGGTCATCGTTCTTGACAATGCGGTACCTCGGCTGACTCAATTTTCATTTGGTGGTGAGCCCACATGAAATATGTTGTTGCGCTTGTTAAACATGGCTAGTCAGTTTTCTCAGAGAGTGAATAGTGCCCGTGTTACAGGTGATCATCCTTAGTCTCACAATCCCTCAACATACTCTTCAATCAACTCGTTCAAGTTTGCTGTGTCTTTTGGAGAGGAAAAAAAAATTTGGCGGTTCCAGGGTGAGTCTCAAAGCACCATGTTTGGAATCGGAAGGTCTTTATGCTTGGCCATTGCGTTGATATAGTTGGTTTGGGAGTTCTCAGAAAACTTGCGCAAGGAAACCTGGACCAAGGAGAGAAACCTGCTGAACTTGAAGCAACCTGCTCACCTCTGCAGACCAAGGTCCAAACCTAACTGATCAGCCCTCAATTCACTCAAACCACCCCTAGCCAACTACTGCCGAACCAAGCTCAAGCCAGCCGAAGACCGACCCTCGCAAGACAGCCTCAACACCTTCTGCGCAACAACTCCAAGCAACGCGACCGGCTCTGAATCTGTCTGCCACGCTGCTCAACCAACCAAACCGAGCAACCAACCCAACCAACCAAACCAAGCAACCGACCCAAACGAAGAACCGACCAACAAGCAACAGACCAACGAGCAACCGCCCAACAAAAAACCAACCAAGCAACAAATCAACCAACCAACCAACCAACCAACCAAGCAACCAAACAAACCAAACCAAACCAAACCAAACCAAACCAACCAACCAACCAACCAACCAACTCGCCCACTCAAACAGGTCCAAGCACGAGAAGAAGTCGCATGTCAGCCGACTTACAAAATGTTCCACGCAAGCACGTGCCCAAGGTAACTCAACCTGCTTGCATGTCTGCTCCCATTTCCGTGCCCTCAGCCACGCCACAAGCAGCTTTTGCAAATTCAATGAAGATTCCTGCTGCACGCTCTCCCTGCCTGTCCCCTCGCACAAGCAATTACGAGAGGCTGAATCACCGAGCAAACCCTTCAAAGTCGACCCCAATCAGACAAGCTACACCTTGGACACCGCTATCAGCGGAAACTCGATAATGCACCCACTGCCTTGGTCGATCCTGGCACTGCGAACACAAAGACGTGCGTGTGTCCAAACACAAAGGACCCCAAAATTGTTGGATATATTAAAAAGGAAACCAGAAGCAACAACCATTTTCAGGGATCCAGTTCCCTTGTTTGATAACATGTGGATGCTGCGGATTTGCGCTTAGGCAAGGCTCTTCAGAGTTTGAAGATCCTCCAAAATCTGACAGTGGATGTCAGAATACTCCTCAGTTTGAGCAAGCGTCTCCATTCTCAAACTGCAGGTCACTAAATTTATGCTCAGGCGAGGCGCCTGACTAGAGCCTAAGCGACGTGCGCAGCATTCTCAAGTCACAGTCACAGAAGTAGCTCAGCGAATGGTGTTTACCCTCGCACCCAAAAAGAATCGGAACCTCACTGGCGGCCCTACAAGGCAAGTTTGCTCAAGGCTTTGGCAAATTTGGTGGGTTCCATGACAACGTGGGTGCAGGATACTGAGCCTGCGTCTAATTTGTGTCATGTGCATGCCCCTGTGCAGATCCAGGACGAAGTCCTCAACCAAGGGTTCGCTCGCGTGGGCTAGGCTTTCCTAGTGACAAGGGAAGGTGTGACTCTGTATGCGGCTGTGTGTGTGTGTCTGTGTGCCTCTGTGTGTCTCTCTGTGCGCCTCTGTGTGTGTGTGTCTCTCTGTGTGTCTCTCTGTGTGTCTCTCTGTGTGTCTCTCTCTCTCTCTCTGCGCGTGCGCGTGTGCGTGTGCGTGTGCGTGCGTGTGGGCGTGGGCGTGCGCGTGTGCGTGTGCGAGTGCGATGTGCGTGTGCGCGCGCGTGCGTGCGTGCGTGCGCGTGTGCGTGTGTGGGTGTGGGTGTGGGTGTGGGCGCGTGCGCGGGCGGGCGCGGGCGCGGGCGCGGGCGCACGGGCGCGGGGGCGGGCGCGCCCGGGCGCAGCGCCGCGCGGGCGCGTGCGCGTGCGCGGGCGCGGGCGCGGGCGTGGGCGCGGGCGCGGGCGCGGGCGTGGGCGTGGGCGTGGGCGTGGGCGTGTGTGTGTGTGTGTGTGTCTGTGTGCGTGTGTGTGTGTGTGCGCGTGTGCGTGTGTGTGTGTGTGCGCCGAGTTCCAGATATACCCTGGAACCATTTCGTAAATCATAGCAGGGGGGCGATGGTTCCTTTGGTGCGCATCGCCCAACGAAGACCGCACCATTGGAACGTGACATCAGTCCAGGAAGCTGGACGGACGTACCTGCAACTTTAGGTTGGCTCTGTACATAGCGTTTGCAGTTGTACTCATCTTGAGAGCTGACAGTTGTACTCGAAAGTTGTACTCGAAAGTTGTACTCGAAAGTTGTACTCGAAGATAAGCAACCTCCTTCGGGAGTTTAAGTGCGTTTACCCCGTTTCGGGGGACCCTCGGACGCACCCATCGTGTGGCTCCGGGACGGCATTGCCGTTTTATTTGACATTGGCGTCGATCACTAGACCAGCGGAATTTCACTTTAAGCAGAAACGAGGTTTCACTAAAGGGAAGATTGCGTCAACCACTTGCTTCACCATTGCGACCGTCGACCATTGCCACCGTTGACCATTGATATCTTTGACCATTTCTTCCGTTTACCATTACTACCGTTGACCATTGTCATTGCTGTCTTGCATTCACGTGCTTGTGCCATGGTTGCGAGTGATTTGTGTCTCAAGCTTTGGGACTTTTGGTTTCCTCGCCTTGCGCTTGAACATGCCTCGACGTGATGACCGTGAACGTTCTCGCGCTCGTCACCGCCGTGGGCGATCAGAATCGCCACCTCGCAAAGCACGCAGGCGTAAAGATCGTGATGAGGATCAACGCCAAGCAGAGTCTCAAGACTGGCTCAACCCCTTGATGCGGCAGGGTCCCAATGGCGCCGCTTCTGTTATGCCTACAGCGCACAACCACTCGATGACCTACATGCATCACGCACCAGCACCGTTCCCTCCCACTCCTTGCCTTGCACCATACTCCCCTGTGTCTGGACGATCCTTGTCATCGTGCTCCTCACGCTCCACCTGCGCATCAGCATATACCAACATCGACTACATTCGCGAATTCCGCTGCGTCCAGTTCTTCAGCTGCGCAAAGAACTCAGCGCCTGCATTCCGGTCCCATGGCAACAGGGCAACCACTTTGGCTCACACCTCCAGCGGATCTGGAGAAGGTCTTCTGGATCGCAACCAGCTCTACTCCTTCACGCTACCAGTTTCAGTCGCCAATACTCCTCACACTCGTGAATGTGGAATGGCCGATCTCGACATGCGTGACGTACGTTTAGTTCAATCACATGGTGGCCTTTCAAATTGGTTGCCGATCTCAGCAGCTCAACCTCCTTACCCTCGAGAAGGACACTGCCAGCTCCCTAGGACTCAACTTGGAGGACTTCAATCAGCGCATCAAGATTCATGAGCATTTGGCCAACAACATCCTCGAGCACCTTGCACAACAACACCAAGCCATTTCACCGCGGCCACCCAACGCTGACGCAGTCGCGAATTGTCATTCACTCCAACGCCGAAATGAGCTTCTCAAAGCTGAATTTGCCGCGACACGCAAAGCTCATGATGGCTACTACCACGCCGCCCACCACACCTTCCCCTTCCAGACCTTCAGAGTCAGTGACGTCAAGTGCGTTTCTACCCATGGCCAGTGCTGCCGCCGTTGGTGGGAAGTCTTTTGACAAGAACTTCGCGAGCCCCATTCTCAATTCACTACATGGTCGTTCCCCTCGTCCGCCTCATGACAAGAAGCAGGGTGATCCGATGTTTGCAGCCACTGATTCCACACATCATGCGCGACCTCCGTCTTCTGACCACAGTGGAGAAGCCCGATGCCGCGCTTGCTTGTCAAGCATGCTCCCACTACGTCAACGCCAGCCTCAGTGCTCAAGTGGGCCAACCATCCTACGCGTCTCAACGTCTCAACACCAGTCGCGACCTTGAACCTTGTGCTGTTCTGCTTCAACAAGCACGCCAGCGGGTCGTCAATGGAGACGCGGCATCTTTCCCATCTATGGCGGCCATGTGGGGGTTGGAGCCCGGCTACATCACCAAGCTCGCCGACAAAGTGCTGTGTATTCTAATTGTCACAACACGCACTCTCGCCTGACCAGACGCTTGAATCTTTTATCCTATTGGCCCGGAGCGGCATTTGCCATAACAGTTGCGCAAGCGAAAGATTGCTCGCTCTGCAGCAGTGCATTGTTTCCGGTTTGTATACCATCACGCCCATCGCTTGCATGTTGCATTGCGTTGGCATCATGAACATGGGTGGCACTGGTCTCGGATAAGCATAGTACATCAACTTGAAGCTCTTCAAACAGAACTGCTTTATCGGCAGTTGTCGTGGGATTGAGGACACCAGCGCGGGATCCTTGTTTAGGTCCAGGGTTTTGAGCAACCCTACGCAGATGCCTGGCAAGCAACTGCCAATCTGTGTTTCTCTCGTTCAAAAATTTGCCACTCCTAGTACTCTTAGTATGATCAAAGGTTTCAAGAAGCTAGTTTCACAGACATGACTGGATTGGCACCTGTTGACGTTGACTTGATCCTGGATCTCCTTCGGGGCGCAAGCGTGCTTCAGAAACTGAACAAGGTAGCAAGATCCTGCGATAGGTCGGCACTTGCGCGCCCTGAACTTGCTGACCAGCGGATGAAGCTCTACGCCTTTCGGATCTCGAGGCGCCTCTTGCGGCTAACCAGGATGAGAACTTCTGTTAGCGAAGACGCTTGGAAGCCCGAACTTGTGGCGCGACAGGAGTTTGAACGGGACTTGGCATTTGCAGGCGCGAAGCTGATCAACATACCCAAGGGCAGCTTGACAATGCCATTTCCACGAAATGGGCCAAGCCTCGTAAACCAGACGGCGGCGTCCGTTGCAGACCTGCCGATCGTGGGCTTGATCAGAAAGTTGACAACTTGACTGACACGTTTGCAAGTACGCGTTCAACTGATATGTTGGAGTTGATGTTGACCCCTGCTGCGTGGTTTAACCTCGCTGGGCTGCCACTTACGGCAACATGTCCACAGCCTTCCTTCACGCACTCGTCACTGGTGAGGACATCCGAATGATTCACCTGAACTTCACCCTAGTTAACGTGATATGGAAGCGGAAGCGTGCGCTTCACGGGCAGAATCGCTCCACGACTTTGGCAAGGCCGCTTCGCCTCAGTCGTGGGGAAGAAGAACTTTATGACAATGAACGAGCGACCCGAACTTGCAGGGTCACAGCTGCATGTTCAGGCTGCCATTGATGACTTGAGCAAGGACTTGATCCTGAATTTAACTGGCCATCGCACGGATGGCAAAGAACTCACCTTTCTGAGCAGGAATTTTAATCAGCGAGATGCTTGAACTTTACATGCCCGGCACGCGCATCAAGAACTTGCCAAAGGAGCTTGAACTTGAAAACGCAAACCTGCACCAACACCTTGCACAGACACTTTGAGAACCAAAGGCTTGATGCTGAACACACAAAACAAGGGGAGCCATAAACTTGTTGGCCAGCTTTTGTGGTTCTGTCATGTTCGGTGTGATCTCACGCACGCAGTGAAGGAACTTTCACGCGGACTTAACGCGCCAACGGCAGACCACTGAGCAAGGTTGCGTCACCTAGGTAGGTACTTGGTTGGCACAAGGCACTTGGGTCAACGCTTGGGGCGAACGGTGAAACTTAATGACAAACATAAAGCTCTTGACATCAGCACTTGCATCGACGCGGGTTGGGCAGGGTGTCACGACACCCGTCGTAGCACTTCAGGCGTCGCGCTCTGCGCGGGAGGTGTGAACTTGCTGGTCGCGTAGCCGCACGCAAGCAACACCGAGACCACTCATACTTGATGCACGACTTTTGAGAAATTGACGGTCATACGGGCTCGACAGCTGTCAAAAGCATGGCAGGCAGGTTTGGGGCTTTCCGCAAAAACCGCATGCAAGAATTGGTCACGGCTGAGAAGTCTGGCCTGCTCAAATTGCGGTAAGTTCCAGAACAGATGTCATGACTAAGAACATACTGTAGCAAAGCATCTACCCACTTTGGGGGCTTTAGTTGCGTGACCTCAACCCATTTCAAGTTCGGGGAGTAGGAACTTACTGAAGCTTTTGGTGAAGACGTTTTCTGGAAACATTGCTGCTGCCATGTCTATTTCATTTGGCTTGCAAATGCACCTGTGATTGATACTTCGGCTTTCAACCGCGCAAAGGCTACACTGTACCTTGACTTCAGCCAGCGCATTTTTGCACTTTGCCGCAATGATGAAGGGCAAAGGCAAGGGCAAGACTTGGCACATCCGGCTGTACTTGGGTAGTTTGGGTTTCACCGCTGTGCAAGAATTTTGATGACCTTGTGGGGTCCGGACTTTATGTCTGTGACAATCGCATGGTCCTGCGCGAGGATCAGGCGCAAGTACTTTTGCGTGGCAGCAGGACGTTCCAATCACACTTCTGCACTTCTCCGCAAGACCCCAATTGTAGGGACTGCGAAGTAGGGTCACTTTGATTGTTGCACGCGCGAAGAGGTTCGCGCTTTTCCTAGACGCTGAACAGAACGTTGAGCTGTTCATGGATTAAGTCGTGAGAGCTTTCCACCGGAAGCTTCGCACGGGTGACTTTTTCAAGGCGACTTCAATGGCGCCTGCATCAGGACTTTGACGCCAAGGCAGACCCCGGGGAGTTCCCACTTTTGCATTCACTTTTGCAGGACTGCACCATGTGGAAAACAACTTTTGCAGCTTCAACATTTGGCGCGTTGTGTGTACAGACTCTCACGCTGTCTACATTCAACTTTGAATGTATCTAAGCGGGCGTGTCAAATATGCACTTTTCCCCATGCCTATGTCATGATGCAACTTCCACTTTACAGGCTCAAGGATCAAGGCTCAAGGCTCAAGACTGCACCAGAGCAAAGGTGCTGCGCCACTTCACATACTTCGGTGTGACTTGAGAGTCCTTTGTTTGTTTGCGCGTTTGTGTGTTTGTGTGTGTTGTGTAATTGTTGGTTTGTTTGGTTGGTTGGATGGTGGTTGGTTTGATTGTTTGTTTGATTGTTTGTTTGTTTGTTTGTTTGTTGGTTGGTTGGTTGGTTTGTTTGTTTGATTGTTTGTTGGTTTGTTGGTTTGGTTGCTTGTTTGTTTGGTTGTTTGCTTGTCTGTGTTTGTTGTTTCTGTGTTTGATTGTTTTGTTGTCTGTTTGTTTTGTTCTTTGTTTGTTGTTTGTTTGTTTGCTTGCTTGCTTGCTTGCTTGCTTGCTTGCTGGCTGGCTGGCTGGCTGGCTGGCTGGCTGGCTGGCTGGCTGGCTGGCTGGCTGGCTGGTTGGTTGGTTGGTTGGTTGGTTGGTTGTTGTTTGTGTTGTTGTTTGTTTGTGCGCGTGTTTGTTTGTGTGCGTGTGCCTTCGTATTTCTGTGTGTGTGTGCTTTTGTTTCGTGTGTGCAGGTGTTTGTGTTTCTGTTTGTGTGTACGCGAAGAAAGAATGTTGGCTTAAAGTGCTCACTGCTCTGGAACCAGAAATGCAGCTCTGGGCTATTATGTCAGGCACTTAATCAGTTGTGTTGCCTCGTCCGAAACACAAACCGGATATTTGGGTAAACTGCAGGCAGTCCTGAAAAACTTGCAGGAGCGCAGCACGCCGCCTTGGTTTGTCAATCACTCAGAGCCTTCTCCTGCTGATCCACATCTCTCAGGACCTGGCACTCAAATCAATGAATCAATGGTTGGGATTGGGGTTGAGAGACGCTTCTTAGCAATAGAAATAGTGGCTTTTGGAGCTGACGGTCCTCAGAGTCCCAATGTTGATTCAAGGTAGACTCAAATACCAAGGGCTGTCCGTCTTGCAAAAGCAAATGACCACCGCTAGTGGCTGCTTAGCAAAATCGGGGAATCTACCTCCCTGGAGGTCCAAAAGAATCCTTGGCTGGGTGATCTCGATGCGAGCAGGTGTCTTGTCCTCTGGCTCATCTGGCAAGCAGTCAGGTGGAAGAGGATAACGCAGCAGCCGCGGGAGCTGGATGCGATCCCTGAGAAAGAGCGACCACTTGCACAAAGATGTCCAACCTTCCAACCTCACCAACTACCAAAGTAAACTTGACAAAACATAGTGGTTTTTTGCTGGAGTTGATGTTGAAAGCAGGGTTGGGGAGGAATGCAACATCAAGCTTCTCTCTTGTCTGAAGCCTCCAAGTCGTGGCCTAGCTCTATGAATGCACGTGTTCAAAAATCAAGACCCCCAACAAGCAGACGCTACTCTCCCGAAAACGCGTTCCTCTTGAGGAAGGAACTTGATTTTGGGGAGAAGCGCGCCTTTTCTAGGTTTCATGTTAATTTGTAGCAAGCACCTCCCAAACAACTAACATGGAACCTGGAAGGGGGTCCCTGGAAATCACATTTCCTCTGCACCCAAAGATGTGGTGGGTCCATGTTCCTTAAGTCAGAACCAGACCTGCGGACGCTGTTTTGGATACCCCGTGGATTTCCTCTTTAAGAGTGCTAGTAAATCCACTGCTGGGCATCCAAATTGTGTCCAAAAGGAAATACCCGAACCTGGCCCTGCCTGAAGTCGTGCTGGCGCGGAGTCATTGGGAGGCGCTTTGTCCAATCCCCCATGGCCCCCGCACGTGGTGAAACCTGAGCAAAAACGCAGCTCAGGTTTAAAAGATAGGGCACCTTTTTTGGATGGGTAACCACATGCTACCCCTCAAAGTCTACCCGTGTTTGGTGGAGTTTACCCATGCAAAGGGGGGTGGTTCTATTATTGGAACCTTCGAGGCATTCGAGCCACTGTTACATCAAATGAGTCCTGCTCCGTCAGCAGGTGCACGGGATTGGCTAGACCCGTGTCATCGCTCATGAGCTGCACCTTGCAGTCGTACCCGTGGATAACTTTGCATCTGTCGACCGTGGCTCACATGGGTCTCCCTTCTTTTGAGGGACCCTGTTTGATTTTTTGGGTGAACCGTGTAGGACTATGAAAAGCAGACGCCGGTGCTGTTTCAGGCACACCAACCCACACCCTCAACAAGGGTTAGAAAATCTGCTATTTCCATGCCAGGGCAAGAGGTCCAGGTGTCCTTTTGGGGGTTGTTGAACGAGAAATGCAAGGGACCTACATTTTGAGACGATCCCCATAGACGTGCCTTGTAGGACCCATGCCACTTCGACGCAAACGACAGACACGCCTAACCTTGGGCTCTTGAGCTCAGCCGCTACCTTCATCTCGCCACTGACTGAGGAGTGCTCGTGCCTCATGGCAGAAATTCACAAGCCTTTCTCAGAAAGTGGCATAGATTCAAGTGGTAAAGTAGAGCTAGACACACAACAACCAGAAGTCCTACAACCTTAACACATCCCTAGTCCAACCACAAAACAAAAAATGCTTTGTTAATGAAGATCTCCAGGGTCGAAATCCCCCGGTGTCCCAATTCCATTAAGCGGGTGCATCTCACTGCCAGTCACAAGTCCTCCAATCTTGAGGCATCCAAGTGACTGCACGTTGCAGCACAACAGCATGTACCTGCACAATCGTACCAACACGCTGTTGTGTCCTCCTTCTACAATGCCCCTAAAAAGCAAAGTAGGCCATGGTCTGTACTCATGAAGTGCCCACCAACCACCATTTGCCAAGTGTAGTTGGTGCACGGCGTGTAGACGGCCGTGGTGTTTGAAGCATGTTTTCTGTCTTTTGTTTTTGTCTTTTGGCCCACGCTTCTTTTTGTGTTGGTGTGGAACACTTTGTCTAATTTAGCTGCTGTTTGCAAGGTTTATGGGGGTGGGGTGGGGGGGGAGGGAGCGGGGGGGATTAATGTCAAGGTTCGGCTGTTGAGCTGTTTTTTCGGGCGCAAGTTTTTGGAACACCCTGGCTTGTTTTGCGGTGGCTCCCGAGTCGGGTAATTTCTTGTTTCGACGCAATGCGCATGTCAAATGTCATGCTGGGTGTTTGGGGGGGTCGGGTAGGACACTGATGTCAATATGTTTCTTAGCCAGGACATTCCATTGTTTCGGCTCCATGTGAGCGCCATGGATGCGTATGCTTTTGAAGTGTCTTTGTCTCTTGCGTTTGTTCTGCTTTTGCGTTTGGCTTGCGTACAACCCAAACCGGTCTGAGGTTCTTGAGGGTTTGAACTGCTTGTTTCTGGTATTTGGACCATCATCTTGACGTTTTCTGCACCATTTTGCGTGGAGATTCTGTGCTTGAAGTCGTAATTCTTGCCTCCATTGATTCCCACCGTGGTCCGATTTGCTTCACTTCTTTGACTGAACATCTTCCTTCGCTTGCGTCCGCCTGGTCTCGGTACGTTTGCAGAGTTGGTGGCTGCCTTGCCCCTGCTTTGACTGCTTCTGCCTTTATTTTGTCTAGACGCTTGCTGGGTTTGCGCCAACTCCCCGCGACTCCAATGCCGACATGGGAGTGCCTGGGCATCATTTGTAAAGTCGAAGAAAACCTCGCAGGGGTTCGTCAGCTCGGAAGTGGGCACACAGCGGATTGACCTCTGGTGGAGAACGCTGAAAGCGTTCTTGCCTCCGAGGCTGGCTGCAAAGTGTCATGACAGCGATGGGGATTCGAGGCTGAGCCCCTTGGTGCCAGATTTGATTTTCCAGTGGTGCTTTCGTATTCGGATGCCGCAGATGTCAGCAGTCCCCGATTCAATATGAGCTGGAAAAGCTGCTGTAGAAAGTAGTTTGGCGCAAAACTTTGGACTTCAAAAACGTGCGTCGTGGAGGGAAAAGCAGTGCGTGCTGCGAATCCCACTGTAACGCAGGCGCAAAACGTTGCATGCATGCCCGAAAAAATCCTTGAAACAGCCACGGCGTCTACACGCCGTGTACCTAGTTTGATCTTGTGTACTCGTGTCGTCCCCCCAGCGCATGTTGAACAGGGATATGGGCGGTCGACAGTGCAAAACCACTCCGGCGTAGAAGAAACACCTCTCGAGAACAATGCACTGAGATCGCTTTGAAACGTCGAGGGTCCGGTAACAACTTCGACGGCCCCGTTACAACGTCGACGGTTCAACTTTAAACCTCAAAGGATGCGGCACGTGTTTTCCAAATTGCCAGGGGTCAGTTTGGCATGTCCCGGATTGGATCCAAACATGCGAAACATCAACACGCAAAACAAACAGACTACTGTTAGCGGAATTATCAGCAGAATTGTTGCTGTTGTTGCTGCTGCTGTTGTTGTTGCTGCTGCTGTTGTTGCTGCTGTTGCTGCTGTTGTTATTGTGGTGGTGGTTGTTGTTGCTGCTGCATCTGCTGCTGCTGTTGTTGGTTCGGTTGTTGTTGTTGTTGCTGTTGCTGTTGTTGATGTTGTTGATGTTGTTGATGTTGTTGCTGTTGCTGTTGGGTGGTTGTGGTTGTGGTTGTGGTTGTGGTTGTGGTTGTGGTTGTGGTTGCGGTTGCGGTTGCGGTTGCGGTTGCAGTTGCGGTTGCTTGTTGTTGTTGTTGTTGTTGGTGGTGGTGGTGGTGGTGGCGTTGATGGTGATGATTATGATGATGACGATGATGATGATGATGATGATGATGCTGGCGTCATCTTCATCATCGTCATGTTCATCGTCGATGTCGTCCTCATCCGCATCATCTTAGAGACATTGGGATCCCGCCTGTCAAGCGCGAGCGTCGACACTAACTGGCCCAGCAAGGACTTCTCCTTCGCGTCCTGCAAGCTGGACTGTGACGCACTGCGCGGCGCCCGCTGCAGAAATCAGCGACGCAGCGAACTAAGAACAGTCAGCAATCCCTAGCCAGTTTTGACTTCAGACGCCATTGCGATATTTACGTCTAACGAAAAACCTCCCTTGTGGCCTCTCTTCCCAACCATCCAAAACGGGGGGGGGGGGGGGGGGCAACCCACGAACTGCCAAAGCCAGGCCCACCTCATCAGTTCGGCTCAGACCGCGCCCATGGGCCATGCTGGCTGAGCTGTCCAAGCTGGCTGGCTGCAGTGGTTCTTGAGTTCGATGGACTTGTCAGGCAGTTGCTGCTTGCTGTCAGCTTTTCATTGTTTCTGCGCAAACGAGACTCTTGGAAGAGCGGCAAAATCACGCTGGCTCGAAAGCAGACACGCCGAGTCTTCGCAATCGCCTGCCAAGAAAAAATGTAAAGGGGCATACGCTCCACATGCTATTTCTTCCTCTGCGTCGCTAATCAACTCTGCCGACTGACAACGAAAAATCTCAAAAAGACGGGCTGTGATAATGAGGGGATGTACTTCTGTACTGCCAACCAGACCTCCTTTTTGGAGTGACGAATTTGTTGGGAATTCTTGGGTCAAACCATACCTGGGAAGCCCATGGTTTCGGCCCAGCCTTCGCCCGGCACGCGGCGGGGTGCAAGAACGGATCCAAGACTGGAGCCACTGCACAGGGGCCTGTAAGCGTGGGGGTTGGGTGTTGCTGTTGCTGACGTTGGCGGCGGTGCTGCTGCTGCTGATGTTGCTGTTGTTGTTGTTGCTGATGTTGCTGCCGCTGTTGGTGGTGGTGGTGGTGGTGGCGGTGATCTTTTTGTTGCCCAAGCTGAGAAGAAATGCTGCGGCCGCTGCCGCCGCTGCTGCTGCTGTTGTTGCTGTTGATGTTGTTGCTGCCGTTGCTGTCGTTGTTGTTGAGGGGTGACATTTGAGGCTGTGGTTGTGGCTGCGGTTGTTGCTCTTGCTCTTGTTGTTGCGTTGCTCTTGTTATTGTTGTTGCTCTTGCTTTTGTAATGGCTTTCGTTCTTGTTGTTGTTCTTCCTCTTGTTTTTGCTCTTGCTCTTGATCTTGTTCTTGTTCTTGTTATTGTTGTTGTTTTTGTTATTGTTCTTGTTGTTGCGATTCTTCCTGAAATTGTTCTAGCGCTTGTTTTTGTTCTTGTTCTCGTCAATGTCGGGATCTTCTTTTCGGTTTTGCTGTTCTTGGTGTCGCTCTTGTTCTTGCGCTTCTTCTCGTTATTGTTGGCGCTGCTCTTGTTGCTGTTAGTGCTGCTGTTGTTGCCGCTGTCGCGGTCGTTGTGGTTGTTGCTGTCGTTGTCGTTGTCGTTGTCGTCGTCGTCGTTATCGATGTTGTCGCTGTTGTCGTTGTTGTCGCTGTTGTCGTTGTTGCTGTTGCGCTTGTTGTTGTTGCAATTGCCGTCGCCGTTGTTGCTGCTCTTGCTGTTGCTGTTGCCGCTACTGTTGTTGCTGTTGTTGGTGACACGTCCTCCTAGGACCCCCAAGCTTCTGTTCTTTACTGCCGTGACATCTGGCAGATCATTGGGGGGAGTCAGGGGGGTGGGGAGGGTTGGGGGATGGTCAGCATCCTTCGCAATTCTGTTCTTACTGGCTTGAAGACTGCCACGTCGGCTCCGTCGCCCTTGCCCTGTCTTGCGCTCCTCTTCATCGTCCAAGTCGCACCCCCCCCCCTCCACACATCCTTTTCTTTGTCCCCGTGGACTGCCGATCCGTAGTATCTTGACACCCAAGTCACTCTCTTCACACTTTCAGACTCTGACCCTATCACTGCGTTCGCGCGCCACCGCTTGAATTATAGGGGCCCCGTCAAACAAAGTTGAGGGGGTGGCTGCAAAGCCCTTTCAGGGTTCTGTTGCGCACCACGGTTTCAAAAAAGCATCTGTGCTGCGCTTGCCGCTCATTGACACGAGGCGCGGGAGCTGGTGTAGCTGTACTTGGAGTTGTCGGAGTTGTTGGTGTTGGTGCGGGTGTACTTACTGCCGCTGGCACAATCTGCCGTCGCTGTTGCTGTCGCTGCTGCAGCTCTTGTTGCTGGCGCTGTTGGTGTTGGATTCATCACCAAGCGCAACTCCCCCTCCCCAAAGCATTTTGCCGCTTTGGCTTAAGTAAGCCTAAAATGGCCTTAACTTCTTTGGGGGGGGAGTGTTCTAAGCTGAGGGGGGTCGCTTAAAAGTTAAGCTTAGTTGAGCCTAAGAGCTCGGATTGCCCGGAATTAGCGTCAATTGATTGAATCTTCTCCTTCACCTGCAAGGTCTGACTCCCCTCAAAACCAGCGCACGTCACCTTTGCCAGGGCTGCTCAGGCTCAACAAAGCTTTAAAAAGCTTAATTAAGCCTAGATAAGCCTACTTAAGCAACATTCAAATTTGCTTACCTAGGCCTTAATTACGCTTAATTCGGTTCAACTAGGCTTAATTTGGTCCACCTACTTTTGCCAGACCCAGCATGATCTTAACTTCTGGCGGGGGAGTGTTGGGGGGGAGTTTTGCACTTGGTGAATATAAGGACGCCGATGTCGATATTCATGTCAATGTCGGTGCTGTTGCTACTTTTGTTGCTGGTGGTGTTGTTGGCGCTGTTCGTGTTGCTGTTGTTGGCCCTGCGGTTCTGCGCCGCGCAGTTCCGCGCAGCGCTGCCGGCGCAAGACCGCTGCGCTGCCCTTGCCCGGCTCGGCCCAGTCACCCTTCTGCGCCAGAACTGTGACCCTTGCTCTCGTTAGTGGAACGCTGCTCTTGTTCTTTCGTTGTCGCTGTTGTCGCTGCTGTTGCTGTGTTTGTCGCTGTTGCTCTGTTCTTGTTGTTGTTCTTGGTGTTGTGGTTGCTGCTGCCGTTGTGTCGTTGTTGGCGGTGTGGTTGGTTGCCGCTTTTTGTTGGTGGTAGTTTTAGCGGCGGCGCAGTCCCATCCGCTGTTTTGTTCTTGTTCTTCTTCTGGTTGTTCTTGTTGCTGATATAGTTCTTGGCTGCCGTGCGCTTAAACGCCTGAACGAGGCTGTGTCACTGGCAACAGGGCTGCAACCAGAGCAGCATTGAACCCCCCTCCAGTGGTGCGATGGAAGATACTTCTTAGCGTCACGCGCGAAGTCTCACCCTCATGGTGTTCGACGCAGGGCGGAGTCTCTCGTCTTTCAGCTGCGGGGGAACGAATGAATGTTGCGGTTGTTGTTGACGCTGTTGTTGTTACTGTTGTTGCTGCGGTTGCTATTTTGTTGCTGCTGTCACTGTTGTTGTTGCAGCTGCTTTGTTGTTGTTGGTTGTTGCTGTTAGTCTGTCGTTCTTGCTGTTGTGGCTGTTGTTGCTGTTATTGCCGTTGTTGTTGTTGCGGCTGCTTCGTTGTTGGTTGTTGTTGGTGTTTGTTGCGGAGGCTACTGTTTCGTTGTTTGTTGCTTTGTTGTTTTGTTTTTGTTGGTCTTGCTCTTGTTAATCTTGCCGTTGCTGTTGATGCTGCTGGCGCTGCTGTTGTTGCTGGCGTTGTTGTTCTTGTTGTTGTTGTTGCCGGTGCGGTTGCTGCTGTTGCCGTTGCTGCGGTTGCTGTTGCTGTGGCTGTCGCTGTTGCTGTTGCTGTTGCTATTGTTGTTGCGCTTGCACGATGCTCCCAAACTGCGCGCGCAGCCAGCCAGAGTTAGCGGAGGCGGCAAGAACATGGCGCAGCTGGCACCGCAATTCTCAAGGCGCCGACCTTGCCACTCGGGAAGTTTCCTTTGAGGCGCGCAGCGGCGTCATACACAGAGGAGGCAGAAGCGTTCTACTGACAAGCGCGGACGAAGGCTCAGTAGAAGAACTTCTGTGACAGGTTGCGCAGAAGTCCTTGAGGCATGAACGCGCTAATATCAGAGCACCGTCGCATACTCAAAGCTGGCCAAAATCTTTCTACTACTATTCTGGCCTGCTGACGGCCTTTACCGTTGGGTGCTGGACGAAGCTGTGTAGCGCCGTCAGGCAGCAGAGGCCAGGCATCTTTCAGGGGCACTCAATTGGACCATGCGGCGTTGGAGGTCAATGGTCGGGATGAAGGCACGCAGGTACTCGGCGACTGCCCGCTTTCGACATTCCCGCTACAACCACTGCGCGGTCGGACATGGATAAGGAAGCAAGAACCAGGAACGCGCGCCTCACCCGCCGTCACACACACACACATGTCAGTGTGCCCGGCAGCCATGCCTGCCACTGCTACGAACTTGTCGATCCAAGCCTGGGCCAGGCAATTTAGTCTTCGATGGTTTGTTGCTCGATTCACGATCCGTAACGGCAGCGACCGGCAAGACACAGGCAGAATACTCAGTGGGGCCCACATGGGCGTGAGTGAGCTGTCGCCACTCAAAATTCGGCACACCCAGCACAGGTAAGCTGTTGGCGGGCAGGCGCTAGGGGACTTCTGAGGCAGCCAGGCGCAGCACCTTCGTGCAGGTGGAAGCCGCTCTGCGGCCAGCAACCGACTCTGCGAATGACGAGCCGCACAGCAGGGCAACAGTGGTTGCTGATAGGGGTTCTCTTCACTTCGCTGGGGACGGGATGGCGCAGGCCATTGCAGCTTGGCAACGCCGTCTGCGGAGCAAAAAAGCCTATGGTCAGCGGCAGCTTCTAGCAGCCGCCCACGAACAGACCCTACTTGCGCGCTCCTCACGTTTCCGGACGCCACACCGCCATGCCCCATCATGCTTTTTGGGCAAGGTTCCACCCCATGGCTGCGCACCTTTTGGCGACTGCCCATCTGGGTTGGACTGCGCTTTGGCAAACCAAACTCATCAAGTTGAATCTGCGGAAGCCCTACTGCCCCGTGGCTTTGGCTGCCAGTCTTTGCAACGTGCGCCGTCGCCGTGTCTTCACCTGGTCGGGGGCCAGGAAGCTGCTTGCTAACCACTGCAGGAGGCTAGGCTCAAGTCACAGACATGCCGGCGGATTGCGGGTGTGCCACATTTGCCGACCTTCGTGTCGAGACTGGCCTGGAAAGTGTCCGATGCTCAAGCGAGGCAATTGGTTTATGCCCAGCTCCCTCCCTTAACGCCGGCCCCGCCCCTAGAGGCTGCGGCGGGCTCTTCCTTTTTTGCAACCTGCGCGCGCTACCTGCACATGTGCGAGCCTAGCTGTCTGAAGGGGATCGATGTTGTCGGCTGGGCGTGTTTTGCGTGACAGGCGCAGCGCTTTGGAGATGGCTTACAAATTTCGCGGCAGGCAGGTCTGCCAGCGCCAGGTATCCGCACGGCGCCACAGGCACAGGCACGCTCTTGCCAGCTGGCGTGTGT